TTCCTCAATCCTCTTCTTTCGTCCTCTACCCCTTCCACCAAAGCCCACGGAGATCACAGCAGAGCACATAGCAGCAGTGGCCGCCCACTGGACCGGTATCCCCCTGCAGCAGCTCTCCCTCTCGGACCAGCAGCACCTGGCAGGGCTGGAAGAGCACTAGAGACGCGCGTGGTGGGGCAGGGGGCAGCTGTGCGGGTGATAGCACGGGCGGTGCAGCGAGCGAGGGTGGGGTTGAAGGGGGAGGGAAGGCCGGTGGCGGCTCTGCTGTTCTCGGGACCTACCGGGGTGGGGAAAACGGAGTTGTGCAAGGCACTGGCAGCTCACTACTATGGATCGGTGAGTTTGATTCACTGGTAATCTTGGAGTCAAGCTGATTGGATGCCATGCTGTCAGCAAGCTGATTGGATGCCATGCTGTCAGCAAGCTGATTGGATATATGCATCATTCCCATCGAATGCATCGGGTGGGTGGATCGCAGCTTCCCCCTCATTCCCCTCCATCCTGCATTGCCCTCGTTCATCCTCTGCCTTCCAGGAAGATTCCATGATTCGTCTAGACATGAGTGAGTACATGGAGCGCCAACGCTGTCAGCAAGCTGATTGGAGCGCCGCCCGGCTACGTGGGGTACGGCGAGGGCGGCAAGCTCAACGGAGGCCGTCCGCAGGCGGCCGTTTTGTCTTATTCTCCTGGACGAGATCGAGAAGGCACACCCGGACGTCTTTAATCTCCTGCTGCAGATTTTCGAAGACGGGCGGCTTACTGACTCGCAGGTGGGGTGTTGTTTGTCTGTTGTGAGGTGGGGGTAGCTTGAAATGTTGATGTATTTTATCTACTGTGTCCGGCTGGTGCTTTTGATACCCTCAAAACTGCTGATACCCAAGCCTCTATACCACTGCATCGGTTTTGTCTGATGCTCCCACCCTCTGATCCTCTGGTTTCCTCTGATGCTCCCAAGTCTCTATTCATCACCCACCCACCCACCCACCCCGCCCTTTACCTCTTCACCCTCCTCTCCTTTCTTCCTTTTCTGACCAATCCAGGGCCGCCACGTGTCGTTCAAAAACGCCCTGATAGTCCTGACGTCCAATGTGGGCTCTCAGGCCATTGCAAGGGGGGGCACCCACCGAATCGGCTTCCTCACTCCAGGAGAATATGCATCTGCTGATGGGAATAGGGGGAGAGATGGGGGCAGAGAGGGACGGGCGGATGCGGGGCGGTATGCGGCGATGAAGGAGGTGGTGATGGAGGAGTTGAAGGCGCATTTTCGACCGGAGCTCATGAATCGGATTGATGAGGTGGTGGTGTTCCGAGCACTGGAGAGGGAACAGGTGAGCAAGTGTGTGTGCGTGTGCGTTTGCGTGTTCGTGATCGTCTCGGAAGGTGGATGCAGGGCAGTATGCGGCAATGAGGGAGGTGGTGATGGAGGAGTTGAAGGTGCACTTCCGGCCTGAGCTGATGAATCGCATTGACGTGGTGGTGGTGTTCCGAGCATTGGAGAGGGGAACAGGTGAGACTGGCGCGAGAACAGGTGGGTAAGAGAGGTGGGAGCAGGTGCACGTGTGTATGTCTCAGCACAAGTGGGGCGGTATGCAGCGATGAGGGATGTGGTGGTGGAGGAGTTGAAGATGCACTTCCGGCCAGCGCTCATGAATTGGATTGATGAGGTGGTGGTGTTCCGAGCATTGGAGAGGGGAACAGGTGAGCAAGAAATCAGGTAAGGGGGGGTGAGCAGGTGAGGTGAGACAGGGAGGTGGTGATGGAGGAGTTGAAGGCGCACTTCCGTCCAGAGCTGATGAACCGGATCGATGAGGTGGTGGTGTTCTGAGCATTGGGGAAAGTGCAGGTGAGCGTTTGGGGGGGGGGGGGTTGGGGAAAGGTGTGTGCGTGTGTACGTCTGAGAAGGCAGTATGCAGCGATGAGGGAGATGGTGGTGGAGGAGTTGAAGGGGCATTTCCGGCCAGAGCTGATAAACCGGATTGATGAGGTGGTGGTGTTCCGAACTTTTGAGAAGGAACAGGTGAGCATGCAAGAAGGTGAGAGAAAGTGTGTCTGTGTGTGTACGGCTCAAAAAGGTGGATGCGGGGCGGTAAGCGGCAATGAGGGAGGTGGTGATGGAGGAGTTGAAGGCGCACTTCCCGGTCGGAGCTGATGAATCGGATTGATGAGGTGTTGGTGCTCCGAGCATTGGAGAGAGAACAGGTGAGAACAGGGAAAGGGCATGTGATGCAGTTGAGTGGGGAGAGGAGTTGAAGGGGCGTTTCCGGCCAGATCTGATGAACCGGATTGACGCGGTGGTGGTCCGAGCATTGGCGAAAGAACAGCTGAGCAAGGGAGAAGTGTGTGGGTGTAAAGGGGAATGCAAGGTTGATGAACCGGATCGACGAGGTGGTGGTGTTCAGAATTCGGGAGAGGGAACAGGTGAGAGAGGGATTGGGGTGGGCATGCGGGAGAGGGAACAGGTGTGCTTGCATGTGGGAGAGCAGATGAGACAGGGAGGTGGTGATGGGGGAGTTGAAGACGCATTTTTGGCCTGAGCTGATGAACAGGATCGACAAGGTGGTGGTATTTCGAGCCCTTGCAATGGAACAGGTGAGCATGGTGTGAGAGGGAACAGGTGAGTGTGAGGGAGAGAGAGAACAGAGGAGTGTGTGCAAATGAGGGAGGTGGTGGTGGAAGAGTCGAAGACGCACTTTTGGCCAGAGCTGATGATCCGAATCGACGAGGTGGTGGTGTTCCGAGCTCTAGAGAGGGTGGTAAGAGCAGTAAGGAATGTGAACCAGGTATCTCCATGGCTGAAGCGTGCTTCACAACAAATGCGTTATTCACGCATGCACACCCTTGTTGTGCATAACGCTTCAGTCTTGGAGAATCATGGTTTCACATTCCTTACTGCTCTTACCACCCTCTATGCCACCTTCCCCATAAGCCATCCGCACCTGTCCAGCCTCCTCCACCTCCCACGTCTCGCCCATCTTCCCACCCTCACCCTCACCATAACCATCTCCCCCACCTTCCCTCCAGATCCGAGTGATTGCCAGCACGATGGTGAAAGAGACGGCTGACCGATAGACCAAGAGGTGATTCAACCTGGAAGTGTCAGAGCACTCGTGCAGCAAACCCCTCTACCCTGTTTACATTTGCTTCCTTGTCCCTCCACTTGTCCCCCTTCCCTCCAGATCCGAGTGATTGCTAACATGATGGTCAAGGAGTCGGCTGATAGACTTGCACAGAAGGGAATCAACCTGGAAATTTCTGAAGTACTCATGGAGCGGATTTGTGAGGAGGGGTACGACAGGGCGTATGGGGCGCGTCCACTGCGATGTGCCGTCACGCGATTGGTCGACGATCCAATCAGCGAGGCTGTGCTGGCAGCGGGGGAAAGCAGCAGCAACACCAGGCACCGCCACCGCCGCGTCAGCAGCAGTGACCTGTCGGAATCTCTACCATCCGTTCCTTCGGTGCTGCTCCCTGCGATCGCAGCTGACGCCAAAGAAGATGACACCAGCGCACCCCTGGGTGACGTCAGCGGGGTCAGGGAGGGCGCGTTCACAGCTGGCGACACAGCACTGGTGGATGTCGGGGAGGATGGGGAGCCGGTGGTGATCCGCCTGCCTCGCCCTGACGTGTGTGAGATGGGTCTGTGCCTTCCGTTTCTCAAGCTCCCTGCTGCCGCTGCTCCCACTCTCTCCCTCCCTGACTAAGGGGCACGTAACAATGGCGACGCAGTCATGCTTTCGTGCGGTAACCAGATTGACTGTGCGATGGGGATGTGCCTTCCCTTCCTGTAGCTGCCTGCCGCTGCTGCTCCTTCTCTTTCCCTCCCTGAGTATCTCTCTCTGCCTTCCTGACTAAGGGGCATGTTTTCTGTGTATAATAACCAGGGTGACTGTATAGGTGGTCAATGCTCGGGTTGGTGGTTATGCACTGCCAAGGGACCCAACAGCAGGTGGTGGCTACAGCAGATGGGGTGAGGAGGGGAATAGGGCAACTGTAGATTTGTATATACCCGGTTGATGTGTGTGGGATGGGAAAACTACTTTCATTTGGTGATTGGTCTGTGTAAGGCATTGAATTGAAGGATGGTGGCACATTATGAGCATGATATCACGTTGAAATGAACTGAAGGTGGTGGGTGGTTTCAGAAGGAGTCTGTTTATGCAATTTTCATTGTGTTTAGGGTGTCTGAGTGTTGAATCAATTCGTAAGAAAGTAGTGGAGATTTAGCTTCTATTAGACTACTAGCTTGTTTTGTACAGTTGTTATGAGTGCAACTGAGTTGAGCTATAGAGGGAAAAGAATAAAATCAGCGAATGCATGAGCAATTCGTTACCGTAAATAGAAAAAAAAAAAATCGATAACGGTAACGCGCTTGCGAAAGGATGCCCTAGGTTGGGGGAATGTACAATAACCTAGAGTTTAGGGAAAATCACACTTCGGGTGTGCCAACCAACGTTTTAATTGGCGCTGATACCACCGTGGATTGTAAGAGGCTACCGTATCGCCCCGGATATAACCGCAGGCCTATTAAAAGCGCATGCGCTTATATCTGGAGCAATGCGCTTATGGCCGATCCTCAATTAGAAGCGCACCCCCTGTAAAAACTTTACTTATTATAAGCGCATGCATAATTGTATTCTAATTTCCGTAACGATTTTCCGCTTTGCAGCGAGTCTACCCTACAACCCTCACGAGAAGCGGCCGACAAAATCGCACGTTCTGTTCTGCCTCGCGAAAAACCGAAACGGGCGCGAAGCTGAAGCTGACTGACAGCACGAACGTGGGGGGGGGGGGGGGCTCGACCGTGCTCCTGCGCTGCGAGCGACCGGATTCTGTGCCTCGCAACAGTGGGCCGGTGACACATTCCCCTACGGAATGACGTGTCCTCGCCCACCCTTGCGCTGGCAGACAATCGCGCGATTCTGATCTATGACGCGCTAACATTTCGATTCGACTGGAATTGCAAGACTAAGATGCACATTTTGGTGCGCTTAAAATATATTTCTACATTTGTCATTATATAAGCGCATGCGCTTATGCCCGTGACTCATTTATAAGCGCACCCCTCTATAAATCAATGTTTTATTATAAGCGCAGGTGCGCTTCAATCCGGGGTAATACGGTAATATATATATATATTTTAAGTGAAACTGCCAAAGAGAACCCAAATGCAACACACATAAAAACCCCCCTCGAGATACCCAATCAAAACGCCCAATCGAGACACCCCATCAAGACATCCCATCCCACACCCCATTTCACCCCCCCCAATCACAACAGCGTATCCACCATGTACGGGGCCTCCACCCAGAGAGCCCCGCCTTCCACATCAACATCGTCCCTCTCCCGGTCCACCAAATCTACGTTAATCCCCCCCATGGAAGACGCCGCTCGAAGCAGGATGACATGGGCTTGCGCACGTTGTAACGCCACCCCGATGAGCGCCTTCAGTGACCCTAAAAGATAAGCCGAAAACACAGTGTCGTCCTCCCGACAAGCCCCCCGCGACACAGCTAGCCCCACGTGCGCATCCCCCTGCTGACGAAGCCACCGCCGAAAACGACCGCCGAGACACCCCCACGTCTCTACTATCAGAGGGGTGAACTGCACGCCCCGGTTGCGTGCAAGCAGAGGCGCGTAATCACTCGTTTTGCGAAGCTCCCACTCTCTTGCCGCCACACCTATGGATCGCCCGCACTGTCCTAGCAGAGATGGAGACAGCGATAGCAGATCCGCGACGCTGATCTCTAGGGCGTGAGCCTCTCAAGCCATTGGTCGTCGCACCGCCACATCAACCCGCTTCCCCTGCAGCACCACACTATCCTCCATTGTCACCACCCCCCCCGACGTCTTAGAGATCTTCGCCACCGCAAACTTCACCTCATCATGCACCCGAGATGGACCATGCTGGTGCTTGCATCTCAGGGCATGATGCGGGTCTGCCGGGTCAACATACGCTGTGCCACAAACATACCTCCCCGCCACCTGCAGCTGCTGAATTGGGAGCCCGAGCCGTATAGCAGCAGCAATGCCCCACTCAGCCGCACTGAATGTGAGATCTGAGTGAGCCGGAACCGCCGAAACCCATGCACCCGCCCCCGGGCCCTGAAGGGATGTGAAACGGGCCAAGGTAGCATCGTCACGAGCCAAGCGGCGCAGTGCCTGGAGCTCCTCTACAGCTAACTGCCGCTGCCGCGCCTGGAAAAGCCGAACGGGAGGGGCCGCTACATACAGAGGTAAGCCCGGTATCTCCTGGCGGATAGTCGCTGGCAGCTGCTCAAGAGCCTTGACAAACCACGGGTCGAGAAACTCTGCCCCTGTCGAAGTGGTGAGGTACTCTGCAAACATCGCCTCCTCGCCCGCCACCCCTAACTGTGCAATGTCACGCGCGGCCTACGCCCACCCACAAACATAGGACAGTGGGCTCAAAGAGGCCGCCGCCCGGATCCCGAACCCTCCGAGTCGCACAGGGAGATGCAGCTGCATGCGTGCGCGCCTAGACCGGTCGGGGTCCTGCTCCCAAGTGCCAGGTGGGAAAAGCTGCTCAAAAGCAATCCTCCAAACAGCTGTCCCAATCCCTAAAAGCCTCAACCACCTCCGGACGCGGCGGCATAGTCCGGGCGAGGTACATCGGCCGTGCTGAAACTGCAATGGCGAGGAGGTGTGAAACCATCTGGGGGTGGTCGAGCAAGGGGAGCCATGGCAGTGGCGCCTACAACTGTCGAAGCTGCTCCCGTAGCCGGACCACCTCCCGATCCTCCTCCCCAATAGGCACGCCCACCACAGTAAGACCCTCCTCCACCCGCTGCATCCCTAATGGCAGTGCCTGCTCCACATCCCTGCCCTCGCGCTCCCAAAACCGGCACTTGTGCGCCTGCACCTCCAACCCCACCCACTCCAACCGCTCCCGCAGCACCCCAAAAGCCTCCAGAATCCTAGCTGCTGGCCCCAAAATATAGGTATCGTCTGCATAGCTGAGGAAAAGCAGGTCCCCGAAACCCTAAATTTATACGCATATGTTCTACTTGTATGTAATAAACTTGCTAAAGGACGCGTGAGTTTGTGAAGGACCTGCGCACATGCACCATGGACTCGATTTTGATGAGGCCATATGTCAAATGTTAATCTTGTGATAGGCTGTAGTGAGGTACTCTCTAGTGAGTACAACTTTGGTAGGTTTCCTATTTGTATCCTTCCCAACCCTAATTCAGTCATTCCGTTGCATTCGAACTTTGAGATGGTATCACGAGTAGGTTAGTTCCTTGTTACTTCCTAGCCCGCGCCCTCTCTAGCGCACCCCCGCGCCCTCCGCGCCCTCCGTGCCCTCTGCGCCCTCCGCGCCCTCCACGCCCTCCGCGCCCTCCGCGCCTTAGCCTCCGCGCCCTCCGCGCCCTAGCGCCCTCCTCCTCCGCGCGTCAGTGCTCTCCGCGCCCCTAGCACGTCGCCCAGGCCCGCGCCCTAGCCCGTCGCCCAGGCCCGCGCCCTAGCCCGTCGCCCAGGCCTGCGCCCTAGCCCGTCGCCTAGGCCCGCGCCCTAGCCCGTCGCCCAGGCCTGCGCCCTAGCCCGTCGCCCAGGCCCGCGCCCTAGCCCGTTGCCCAGGCCCGCGCCCTAGCCCGTCGCGGCCTCCACATCCCCTCGTTCACTCGGAACTTGGTGGGTGCTGGTTACCTCCAGGACAGGGGGATCACGGTTACCTTTGTGGGGGGTGGGAGGACTGCGGTCTATACAGACGCTGCCACAGGTGCTGTTCTGGCCACGTTCACCACGGAGCCCCGCTCCGATCTCTACGTTCTCCACACCGAGCGCTCCCCGGTTGCGTCCTCCGCTCAGGTCGTTGCGTCCCCTCCAGTCCAGGTGTCCAGTCCGGTTGCTGTGTCTCGCCAGGTGGTCGTGTCTAGTCCAGTTGCAGTGTCTAGTCAGGTCGCGTTGTCTAGTCTAGTCGCTGCGTCCTGCTCCTGTCGGTCCCTCACCCACCAGACCGTCTTGTGTCACCACCGCCTTGGCCACCCGTCGATCCCCCGCCTCCGCGGGATGACCACTCACGGGCTTGTCACCGGCCTCCCACGCACCTTTCCGTCGCTCCCCACCTCCCCTGCTCCCCCTTGCACTCCTTGCGTCGCCGGTCGCTTACGCGCCACTCCCCACTCCTCCTCCATTCGTCCGGCCACTGCTCCCTTCGAGACTCTCCACTTGGACGTCTGGGGCCCTGCCCCGACGCAGGGATCTGGGAGGGAGCGTTACTTTCTGTTGGTCGTCGACGACTTCTCCATGTACACCACAGTGTTCCCTCTCGCGAAGAAGTCCGAGGTGACTTCTACGCTGATCCGGTGGCTTCTGGCTACTGAGGGCACTCGTGGTCGTCGTGTCAGTTGTCTACACTCCGACCGTGGGGGCGAGTTTCGCTCCGGCATTCTTGGCAGATTCTGTGGCGAACAGGGCATCGTACAGTCCTGGACGCTTGCTGAGTCCCCACAGCAGAATGGGGTTGCTGAGCGCCGCATTGGCTTGGTCATGGACATTGCTTGCACGTCCATGATCCATGCCCGTGCGCCCCATTTTCTGTGGCCCTACGCGGTTCGCTACGCCGCACACCAGCTGAACCTCCAGCCGCGCGTCTCACGGCCCGAGGCTTCACCGACCAGTCTTTGGACCGGGTCCCCTGGTGTTGGGTTGGTCTTTCGTGTCTGGGGCTGCCTTGCGCTTG